AAAGGCTCAATAAATGTTGTTATTAATGTTTGAGGATCTTCATTTCCCCTACTCATTACTGGGTGCAGAATTTTTATTTCTAAACTCTTCCATCTCTCTCAAACTGTGTTTCTTTAGCCTGCGGTCATCAAAACCACTACTCCGAACCATAAGACATCTCCTATCCTTAGGCTGAGCAGTCTGATTCTATTCATGACAGCAAATGCTTGGGGTTCCCTTCACCTCCACAGCATCAAATTGTTCTTCTGTGACAACTGAATGAAGACTAAGGAAGCAATTCTTCCCATTTTCTTTTTCTGAAAGGTTAAGCTATCATCAAGGAAAGTCTTTTTTCTTTGGAAGACAGTTGCCTAAGTAGCAGACATTGATTGGTCTATCTATCCATTCATCCTATCCTATTTAAGAACCTGGAATTTTTATTAAGCCTCACAGCCTAAAAATTATTATACTTTACAAAATTCATTTCTTGTAATCAACCTGGGACATAGTGATTATCATCCCCACTTTAGAGATGATAACCCAGGGCTAAGAGAGAATCAGAGAGGTACTCAAGGTGACAAGCTAGTAAGATTTCTAGCTGGGACTCAAAACCATGAAAATAACTGCAAAGCTGTCTCCATGCCAGATACTAGAAAAGCATCAACCATATCCAGCCACGTGGTTTTTGTAGTATGTTTATTTCTGTCAAGATTTTATTACCTGCATTACTAATAACTACAGATCATTTGTACCAGAAATACTCTTATAGTCCCATCCTAAAGTTCTTTAGCATTCATTCATTAACAAAGCTTATTTTGAGCACTTACCATGTACCAGACACTGTATAATTTCAGAATTTCCACAGTGGTATTCTCAGCCTCCATTTATTCTATCCAATCTGCTCAGGAACCACTTCTATGTTCAAGGCAGTGTGCCTGGACCCCTATACATACAAACTGCTGCAGCAGATGCAGAAAGAAGTTAAGGGGGCTGGAGATAAAGCTTAGCAGGTAGAGTACTTGCCCTGGGTCAATCCCCAGCACCACAAAGACACCACAAAGACAGACAGAAAGAAAAGGGATGTTGAACCTCCCTGTCTTGAGGGAGCTCACAACCTTTTGGAGAGAAGTACCAGACGTAATTCAAATACAAGATAAACTAAGACTAGTCCTGTCCTTAAGAGGTGCCAGGTCATACAAAGAAAACTATCCAAATGTGTTGAGGTGTACTGGGTGGGGGGGCAGGAGGCAAGAACATAAGGATGGAGARGGAAAGATGGCATCAGTGGAACCAGGAACATGAGGGACAAAAGGAAAGGCTGGTGAGGGTCATGCAGTGGAAGACCTGAATGCACCTTTTTCATTAAAGGTCTCTGGGGTCAGGTGTAACTTAACTGAAATTATGTTTTGCAAGAGTAATGAGGTGGCCGTAGGTGGGATGGCTTGGAGAGGGTGAGTGTGGAGGGAGAGTACAGTGGCAAACTCATTCTCTGCAGTCTTCTTCATTCGTTCTACTTTAGGTTGTTTCAGGAGCTCATCTGGGACCATTCAGTCCAATCCTGCTCTTTGATACCATCTGTGAAGTCACCTTCCTTTCTCTCCCAAGTCATGAACTTTTTAAAGTCTGTTAAAGGGAAAGCTTTTATTTCCTACTCAGGTATTTAAAGCCAGCGGAGATACCTTTGGATTTCTTCTGACTGCTTCACTGTTTTCCATGCAAATCAACCAAAAGCCTGATCAGCTGAGCCTCAGCCAGGTTAAATGACACCTGGAGCTCACTATCCACAGAGCTATCTTCCCCCATCCTCCATAAATTGTGTCAGTATGGCCACCACCGGACACCTCCATGGGGAGTCATGACCACATACCACCTCTCTTCCTTGGGCCTGATGAACCCAGTGACCTCTCGTTATTGTTCTAGTCAGGATGGACTGCTACTCCTTCCCAGAACTACCTAGTACTTATCCTACTGTTCCAGTGACAGTACTTCTCTATGCACATTCTTCATCCCTCCAAGCTTTAACACTAGTATCAATTCCTTTATTTCCTGAGAATTCTGGATTCTTCTGGGCTCTTTTTTCCCCCTCTACATTTTCTAAGAATCTTCTATCTTCTCTAATAATTTGGGGGAGGGGTGTTAGCTTTCCATTACTGTGACAAATACCTGAAAGCAAAAACTTAAAAGGAGGAAAGGTTTATTTTGGCTCACAGTTTCAGATGTTTCAGTCCATGATCTGTTGACTCCATTGCTTTTGAGCCTGTGGGGAGGCAAATTATCAGGGCAGCGGGTATGTGGTAGAGAAAAAGCTGCTCACCTCATGATGGCCAGAAAGCAGTGAGAAGCAGAAAGAGGCCAGGGTCTCAATATCCTCCCATGGGCCCACCATAAGTAACCTAACTTCCTCTAACTAGGCCCCACCTACTAAACGCTTTACCAACTCCCAACAACACCACAGGCTGTAACCGAGCCTTTAAGCACATGGGCTTTTGAGGTCTAAAACCATAACAGGAAGTATTCGTCAACATTTTCATCTTCTCCGGTAAAACTTCAATCTGGTATTTGGAGCTGGTATTTACAGCTGCAACACATTACCGGTGATTCTCCAGAGGAAACACACTAAGAGTCCCTCACTCATTGATCCACCTGCCCATGTATCCGGTGTTACTCTTGCCTTTATAGAGGAGACGGAAAGCATCAGTTTGAAGGAATTTGCTTCCTTGTGTTTCTTGACATCATAGTCTCTCCACCAAAGGTTCACATAGACTGGCCAATTTAGAAATATAAGGCAAGCTGCAGGAAGGGTGAAATGTTAGGATCAAAGTTTATCCCTGTACTGAGAACCTTCTAGCCATTCAGCTGAATGAGTTGAGGGAAAAAAAAAAAAAAGGAATCCTTCCAATGCATCTGAAGTCGTTTAGTAAGAAGCTGCTGACTTACAGCTGAAAAGCAGTGATTTTACAGCTCACAATGGAGTAGCTGGATGGTTGGGAAGTGAGCACTTCTTTCTATAGATGAGAGGCAGATGGGGCTGTTCCATTTGAGGCAGATGGCAGACAAATCACCTTTCAGCTCTAAGGACAGGCTGACCATATCCCCAGACACCATCATTACCCAAGGCCTCATCACAGAAGTGAGAGGCCATGAGGTATAGACAGAATGCTGACTTGGGAACAGGCAGAAGGAAGGATGGGAAGCAGTGGAACTTGACCTAAAAAGAAGGGTTCAAGTCCCATTTCTTTTTGCTTTAACTCTGTAGTCCTATGAAAACTAAGAATTAGGGATTTTTTTTTTCAGCTGCTAAGTCTATAGATTAAGGGTTCAATCATGAGGAGAATCCAAGAGAGTATCTACTTTAAGAAGCAGCTTAAAGAAATATAAAACCCAAGAAGAAGGCCTAGTCCTCCTATTTTATTAAATGCAGGAGGCAGCCTTATCTGTCACATTCCTCTATAAACAGGAACAGGTGTTGTCCTTAGGGAGCCAGTGGAGGGGAAGAGGATAAAAAACAGCAAACATTTTCTTTGGGAGTCATTTCTTAGTACTTGTAGCAACTCACTCCGACAGCAAAACAGAGAACAGCAGAGGGATCAAACAGGTGGCATATCTGTGTAAACTGGCTTAAAGCAGGCAGAAAAGAGAGCTTTTCCTTCTATTCTACTGGTTGAGAGGTATTTTCTCCATCAAGGCTAGCCAGGTGATTATAGAGCTGGGAATGAGTTCTGCTCAGCCACAGGCATCCAAGGGAACATAAGAGTAGTGTGGATGGTCGCTACAGAATAAATGTTTGTGTCCCCACCATCAAATCCATGTACTGAAGTCCTAATCATTGTGGTGGTGTTTGGAGGTGGGGCCCTTGGGAGGTAACTAGGTCTAGATTAGGTCCTGAGGGTAGAACCCTTGAGTGGGGTTCATGTCCTTTTATGAAAGACATAAGCACCTTCCTCTCTCATATTCTCTCATCCTCTCTCTCTCTTTCTTTCTCCATCCCTCTCTCCATCCCTCCCTCTCCCTCTTCCTCCCCACCCTAAAGAGGATACAGTGAAAATATGGCCATCAGCAAACCAGGAAGTGGCYATTAACAGAACCACTTCTGCCAGCACCCTGACCTTAGACTTCGCAGCCTCCAGAACTGTGAGAAATAAATGTCTGTTGTCTCAGCCATGATATGCTGTTATAGAGCCTGAGCTAAGACAATGGCCTAATTATCCTGGGTCTTCTCTCTTCCAGAACCAGATTCAGAATAACAAGAGAATGGGACAATGTCAAAAAGCATCTTGGCCACAAGCAATTTTCCTTTATGGCAATGCTGGGGATAGAACCCAGTGCCTTATGCTTGACAGGTAAGCATTCTACCACTGAGTTATACCCCTAGCATTGGTCTTCATTCTTTTTCCCAGTATCACCTCCCCTAATATAGGTAAATGTACAAAAATATGGCATTGAAATAAAAATGAACAATGGATGAGAAAAAAAATTGTTCAAGGGAACCATTTTAGGGAAAGTAGACCCCAGATCCTGGAATAGGAGAAAGGAATAGGAGAAGGGGATTTATTTATTTTTTAATTATTTTTTGCATACTGGGGATTGAACCCAGGGGCACTCTGCCACTGAGATATATCTCCATTCCTTTTTGGCAGGGAGGGTATCAGGGATTGAATTTAGGGGCACTCAAACACTGAACCACATCCCCAGCCCTATTTTTGTGTTTTATTTAGAGACAGGATCTCATTGAGTTGCTTAGTGCTTTGCTTTTGCTGAGGCTGGCTTTGAACTCTTAATCCTCCTGTCTCAGCCTCCGGAGCCACTGGTATTACCGGCATGCACCACTGCATTTGGCTTCCCCATCCCTTGTAATTTTTTTTTTTTTTTTAATTTTGGGTCTCACTTAATTGCTCAGTCTGGCCTTGAACTTGTAATTCCCCATCTTCATCCTCTTGAGTTGTTGGGATTACAGGCATGCACCACCATGCCTAGTCTGAAAAGGGGATTTTTAAGAAAATAATTTCTGCAAATTTGCTTACCTTTGTTTAAACGCCCCATCACAGTAAATTCAAAATATTTGCTGTTGTCGGTTGAGGAATAGAGGCCRAAAATGGTAGCTGAGCTTTTAGTCTGTAGCTTGAAGGTGGAGATCACATAGAGCTCGTTCAGGGTGGGATCCGTCAGGACTGGTTGCAGAGCACTTGGGTTCAGTCTCTGACTGGAGGACGGAAGAAGGTCAAAGACTGGGGAGAAGGGGAAATGAAGGTAGTCAGCAAAAGATTAACTGGGGGCAAACATTTGTGTGTGTGTGTGTGTGTGTGTGTGTGTGTGTGTGAGTGAGTCATTGAACAATGAGGTACAAAATAATGTAAATGAATCTCTTGTCATTTTTTTTCACATTGCTAAACTCATAGTTCTTCCTTGTCCCTTTTATAGTGTTTGGACATTCGAAGTAGAAGAAATATCACACAATATTCATCCCTGGTTATAGCCCTTAAGAGGAGACTAAATTTGCAAACACAAAATTGGATTTGGCTGAACAAGTGGCTTTGAAAATGCCCGCTAGGAAAAGCACGAAAGGCTTAATGTACAAGGGGGACAGGTGAGAGCGTCCAGCTAGTTGTTTTTCTCATGTCCTGGAGCAGTGAGTTTTCATCGTGGCGTCCCTTATGTACCTCCCAGACCAGAACCAATTGCATTTTGTTGGTCAGTGATAAATGACAGAGAAGTCAGCAGAAAGCATGGATATGGATAGATACAGTATCAGCAGAATGATTTGCTAGCTTGGTGAGACCTAACTGCTCCCTTTGTGCCTTTACAATTCTTCAATATTTCTCTGTTAAGAAAAATCCCATTGTGGAAACAAAACAAAATGACGTGATTTCTATTTCTTGACTGCATCCTGATGGATGCAGTTGGTCTACAAAAAACTGAAATCTGCATTCGTATTTGTATAAGTTGCTTTTGATCAAGCAAGCAGCACTTTTTCAGTATAGTTTTATAGGAGTCATGAAATCTATGAGAGAGCATATCCAGAGCTATTTAAAAGGCAAAGGTCACATTTGGATACTATTCACTAGAAGTTACTTATAATTTCTGTTAGCTTATGCAAATATGATTTGAACAATTCCAAACCGGTGGGAACTTCAGCACCTAGAACTGTCTCTTGGGATACAACAATCTGGTTAATAAAAGGGTGATATTGATAATATATGAGAAACTGTCACAAAGCAACACCATGATAAGCATCCTAATAGAAAATTGGACAAGGAACACAAAAAGGCAATTTACAGAAAGACTCAAATGACCAGTAAAAATATAARTAAATGTTCATATGCTTATCTAATGATGAAGGAGTTGCTAATTCAAACAGTAAGATATTACTTTCACTACTAAATTGGAAGAATAATAAATGCAATAATGCCCAACTGTTGGTGAGAATTCAGGGAAATGGACCCTCTTATCCACTTAGTAAGACTTGAAACATTTTGAAGACAGTTTAAATAACAGTATCAAAAGTCCTAAACACTTTGACATAGCCATTCTGCTTATTAAGGGAATAATGGATAAAACAATAAGTGTTTTAGGTATTAGGATATTTGCCATTAGTGATAATTCTAGAATTTCTATTTTGGAAGGAATTTTAGGGAGAAAATCTAAGTGGAAGAGATGGGAATCCTGAAGCTCTGTTGGCATTGGACTTTGTCATGATAACATAAACTGTTCTTAGCAAAGAAGAAAGGCTTTACAGAGGTTAAAGGAATGGTTAGTACCAACCCAAGTCCATCCATGACACCTCARGTGTTCTATAAATAACTATTCACAATATCCAAATACTAGAAACAACTTAAGTGACTTAAAAACCTTGCTATATTAATTTTCCTTCCTAAAAGCACAAAAYCATCTACTTTTTAAAACACAGCTATGTACTTACAGATGTGGAAAGATGTTTATGATAGATGAAGTATAAAAGTTATAAACTATATGTGTAACGTGATCCAATTTGTGTTACATATCCACACAGAAAAAAATATTTGAAGTGGAAAACAATATAACAACATGTTAAAATTAATAATAGCTATCTTTGGTTTGATAAGTTTTTTCCTTTTTTGCTTATTCAATTTCTACAATGAATAGCCATTGCTTTTGTTATGAGAAAAAAATGAATAAAAGTTCTAGAACAAAGATGGAAAAAAAAAAAAACAACCAAGCTACTTAAGAATGTCTATTCTTTTAAAAAGACAATTTGTCTTCTAACTGGATCTAGACTGTTTCTTTCACATTTACCAGAGAACCTTACACAATAATGAATTTAATACTAGTCGTGTTGGAAAGCAGGCTCTCTCTGTGTTCCTTCTAGTGCCTCACATCCCCAAACCATGAAGACAGCTGCCTACTATATTTCAAAAGGCGAATCAGGTTTTTTAATTTCCAGAGAACAGGAAACTACATTCCCATCAATGGGGCAGAAGGGAAATAAGGTAATGTGTTTAAAAGTCTCATTCTGAACAAGGTATCTTCAGAAAAGAGATGTGTGTTCAAGGTATGAGACTTGCAATCAAAAGGAACTCTGGTTCTCTTGATTCTTGCTTCAACTTTGATGAGGTTCATAATTTAACTCAAGTTAAACTTGCTGTATTTCAATCTGTGTGGTTCATCCGATCCATTTGCTGCTCTCTCAAGAGGTAGAGTTAGAATTAGTTAGTAATGACTTTAGAGAGTGTTTTGAAAAGGAAATGAGATACTACCATTTTCTATTAGAGTTATCACATTTTGGTAAAAGTACCAGAATCCAATCATAACCCTCTAGTATTAGAGGTAAAATTACAGCTACCAATGAGCCCAACTATTATGGCATGTAAATCAAATACATTCTAATTTAAGACTAGCAATGCAGCTCAGAGGAAAAAGGAGATAAGTAAATTATCTAGCTGAGCTGATAATTGCAGACTAGGCAACTCAATAAAAAAATCTATCAGAAACTTGACTTAATCAGATCATCTACTTCAACTAAATTAACCAAATAATTTGCATTGTATAGCCTGAATTTAAGTCTCCATAAAACTCTGATGTGTRAGAAACAGAATCTATATCTAAGGTATACCATGAAGTTGTGTGTTCAAATGTCAAGAATTTATACAACACAAAATATTATACCCATATGTTCAAACCTGCCAAATAACTTCTCCAATAAGAAAACTTTTGAGTTGTGTTTCAAAACTTCTGCTTTTATCTTCCTAGGAGCTCAGAATACAATCCTTATTACAGACTATAGCTTTCCAGATATTTCGACCCGAACTAAAATTAGTGCAGTACCCGGTGAAGCTTCAGTTTGGGGTTGTCTGATCTGGAACCAAAATGAATTATTTGGTGAAATGCAAAGTTTAAATGGTGACCACTGCAATGAGGAGTGAGGAGAGTTGAGAAGACCCTCACATACTTTGCTCTGGCTTCTTAAGGAATAACAATTTTTAGTTTAAGTTGTATCTCTTCCAGTTTTATTTCCTTGGTAATAAATCAACCCAGGCACCAAATTCAAACAGGAAGGTCACCCACCACTGGATAACCAGTCAGAGCCCCAAGCTCTTTCCTTGCTTAAATTTTTTTTTCCTTCTGATCTTTACACGAAATTATGTTTAACATTAAGTGCTTTCTGCCCAGGGGCTACCAGCATCCCATCTCATAAAGGGGTTGGAGAATTCCCCAGGTTTATCTTTTCAAACTTCTTATGGAATTTTTACCTGTTCATAGAAAAAGATCAATTTTGTAACCCCTCTCTATCTCAGGAATTAAGTGATCAAACCAAATTCTGAAAGAACTTTTGCTTTCTGGGATCCAAGCAGACTGAACAAAGGCGAGCAGAAAACAGGGCAAGGGAGTAAATACCAGGCCTTTCTCAGGGCTGTGGGTCTACCGTTTTGGGCGAACATGGTTTCCCATAGTTTCCGCCCCGCCCAAGTGAAAAGACTTAGGGTTCCAGGGCTGAGTAGAGGGAAAGGGATATAGCGGGCAGAAACTGGCCTTCATACAACTGAGATTTCACCCTACACCAGACACCAGTTAGAGTTCTAGAACTGTGCGGCAAGCTCAGAAGTAAACCTCACGTCTTTGCCTACACCCAAAGGGAAGTTTTGCATCTCTCAAACTATTGTTTAGAGAATTAGTCTTATCTCAGGATAATCAAATTTCAGGAAAAATGTCACCGCTTCCAATCACAATGTGCTTTGATTCTGGTCCCACAGGGGCAGAGGTGTTTGAGCAAGTCCCCCAAAGCAGAGTTGAACAGCAAGAGCTGGTCCCTCCACTCGCCCAGCGAGCGCAGGACGGTGGGCCCCGCGACCCGAGCCGGTTCTACGCTGCCGGCTGGGACCCACTTACCCTGGGGGGTGGCCTGGGCGCCGGCTCCTAGCCACGGCTGCAGGACCAGGTGCAGCAGGAGGAAAGCGGCTCCGCGCGGGGCCAGCATGTTGGCTCTCTCGGCTCTCCGAGGGGCCCGTAGGCGACAGCTGCTTTGGCTCTACCTCAGGGTCCCCGAGTGGTGCCCTGCCCCTGGGTCGGGGCCCCGCGGGCAGCACAGGTGGCGGGTGCGCGGTGCGGGCAGTGAGCGGGGCGCGGCGTCCGGGCTGCCGTCGGGAGGGCGCTCGAGTACTGGCTACGCGCAGCTGGGGGCGCTGGCGGCTGGGCTCCGGGGCCGCCGCCCGGAGCTTTATGTCCCGCGGTCCTGGGGGCGGGGGAGGACCGAGGCCAGGGCGGCCCCCTTGGCCGGGATCCCCTTTTGCCGGGAAGAGTGGGGGCGGCCGGAGCCGGGATCGTGGGCCGCAGAGGGAAAGGCGTGGGTGTGGGAGGAGAAGGAATGCGAACCCACAGAGTCCTGGGGTGGGCGCAGACACCGCCCGTGCTCAGGAGTGGGAAGGGCGAGGGTGGGCAGTGGGGGCTGCTGAGGGAGGGAGAGGTGGGAGCACAGCGGGAGCAGCCTCGCGCTGGACAGGCATCTCAAGCCTGAGACCTAGACCCTAAGGAGAGAGGCAAAGGGGAGGAAGACACTGGCCCGCTGGTTTGGGGCACCATGGGTCCCCTCTCCTCTCGTACTCCTTTTGTTTTCYAAAATGAGCATCACTTGGACAGGCTTCCTATGCCCTTCAGGGTTCTCTTCTGTATAATTCCGAAGGCTCTCCAGGAAAATTCTGCCTCCTCAAGCAGTCCAGAGAGCTACTGGTTTCTCGAATTAAAGAGGGGTGTGTGTTTGCGGCGGGGGGGGGGGGGGGGGGGGGGGGGGGGGGGGGGGGGGGGGAAGAGGGGGAGAGCTGGGGATTGAGCCCAGGAGCATTGTGTCTCTGAGCTACATTCCCAGCCCTTTTAACATTTTGTTTTGAGACACAGTATTGCTAATTTGCTGAAGCTGGCCTTGAACTTGCCGTATTTCTGCCTCAGCCTACCAAATCACTGGGATTAGAGAGCTGGGTCACCCCGCCCCAGCTCTACAGGCTCTTCTAGAACACTTCAAATGGTGAATATTTGTTTCCCTAGGTTTTGAGACATGAACAGTGGCATTTGAGAGTTTTTGTGTTTTTAATTGAAATAAAACACATCTCCAGAAAMCCATCCAAAGCTAAATATAGGATGGTGGGGCAGTGCTTAATGGMGAGTTTATTTTCAGTCCAGTTTCCTACACCCTGTCTACCCACCTCTATTCCATTCTCCTTAAAGATTTTGTGTGACATTTTAAAGGTGTGGTCCTAGAACTATAAGAGAAGGAAAGCACCTAAGTAATTAATGTTTCTTCTAGGCAGAGCCTCCTAAGAATGATATGGACTAAATAGAGGGGGAAAAATATTTGAAAACCAGTAGGAAATTTTTCTGTCTTTAACATCGCAACTAATGGAAAGGATCCAGACAAGTCTTTCTACCCCCATCTTTTATAAAAAATGTCATTTCAAGGCTAGGGTTGTGGCTCAGTGGTAGAGCAATCACCTAGCATGTGTGAAGCACTAGGTTCAATTCTCAGCACCACATATAAATAAATAAATAATATAAATAAATAAATAAATAAATAAAAGTTTAATTGACAATTAAAACATTTTTTAAAAAAGAATATCATTTCAAAGTTTAAGAAGCTACCTATTACAAACTGGGAGATTAACCCACCATTGTATTCCCAAACTGTGCTAGAATAATCCCTCACCAGTTATGATTCTGCTTGCAGCTAATAACCTGGAGATTTGTGAGCTATCTTCAGAGCCCTCTTCCATTTGGGGTCAAACACAGGTTAGCCAGGTTTCTTTTAATGTACATTATACTAAAGCCACTAGATGGAATGGGTCTGCCAATATGGGTCTGGCATATGTCTGCCAATGGAGAGCCTGAAAAGATGCAAAGGGTGAATGTACATGTTTCTATATTATGTGTCTGTTAAATGATAGAGTGGACTAGACTTACAAGACTTCAAACCCCCAAACTGTGTCCCAGGACTAGCCTGGGTGGGTTGGAGGGGTATCCAGGCTTGTGACCCGTGCTTCAAGCAGAATAGCTTTACTTTTGTATGTTTTATACAGTGAACTTCAGAATAAAATTTTCTTTGAAGAGTGGATATTCAAAAGGATGAAAGCCACTATTCAGTGGCTCTCAACTGATTTGGTCTATCAGAATTTCCTTGGGGAGCTTAGGAAAACACATATTAGTTGTAAATGTACCAATATATAACRACAGATCCCATCAGTATGTACAACTAAAATGCACCAATTAAAGATGGGGTGGGGGACACATAGTAGGTGCCTACAGGGAACAAAGGAAATCAAATATCAAAAGGAACAATTAGCATGTCATCTTGGGCTATAGCTTACTTTGACACTTGAGACAGGACAACTTCCTAAATGAGTGACTGAGCAAGCCTCGCAGATGCCTGTGTGAGTTCTTGCATGGTGTGCCACACATTGCCTCTTTCTTCTCACGTCCAATATTCTGCCTTCCTCAGCATGGTAGCCAGAGTATGGATGAGATGGGAGACTGGAGTATAGAAGAAGGAGAAGGAGGAGGAGAGGAAGGGGAAGGAGAAGGAGGAGAAGGAGAAGGAGGAGAAGGAGAAGAAGGAGGAGGAGGAAAAGAGGAAAGAGAAGGAGAAGGAGAAGGAGGAGGAGGAGGAGGAGGAGGAGGAGGAGGAGGAGGAGGAGGAAGAAAAAAGAAAAAGAAAGAAACTAGGATTCTTCCCTCTCTTTGATTTGAAAGTGTGCATCTTTGTGACTCTTGAAGGTCAGGTCCACTATGTTCTACCTTCTGCCCTAGGTCCAGATACTACCTCATGGTTGCCTGTTTGGCATGTCTGTTCTTCTATCACTTATATAACCACTTCCCTGTACTAAATTTCTTTTGTTTAAAATACCTACGTTGGTTTCTGTTTTCCTGATATGTATGACTAAACCATAAGTTATTTGAAGTAGATAACATTTCTGTGCCACAACATTAAAATATCTATGATTGTACTTATACTGAATTTTATCTTTAAAATGTATTAATTTATTTGTTTATCCTCCCCCAAAATTAGACGAGGGATTGTGTCATTTATTTTCATAGCACCAATTCCAAGGACAGTGCTTCGAACTTGGTAGTGAACAGATCACCATATTGACCTTTCTTCTCTTAGTGCTGTAAACTTGGATAAGTAGCTGTGATGTTTGTAATCCATGTGTAGGTGTGGTAGGCTGGAAAAAATGGCTTGCTTATCCAATAAGATTTTAACAAAAATTTCACAAGTAGAGGCTTAAAAAGTACTTGTGTGATTGGTCTTCCTTTCTCTTATACCTCTGCTTTTGCCATGGTAGCATTCCTGTATTAGCCTCCTGGAAAAAGAGAGACATGGAGTGGACCACCAGTAGCCTGGGCAAAGCCAGGCAAGATCAGCGATTCCTGACTCAATGAATGGGTTCAGACAAGATCAGTAGAGCTGTCTAGCTGACTCCAGACATGTGAGCAATAAATATTGTTTTTATAACCATTGAGGTTTGGGGGTCTGTTTGTTTTGCAACACTATTGTAGCAATGGACAACTTATATACTTGCTGCTTTCATTTTCTAATACACAACATATTATAATATACAATATGACTGCCACTCCCCTCCTTTAAATTTTTTTTTTAAAAAATTATTTATTATTGTACTTGGGATTGAACCCAGTACATGGAACCACATCTCTGAGCCACATCTCCAGCCTTTTTTTATATTTTATTTTGGAACAGGGTTTTACTAAGTTGCTCAGGGCTTCATTAAGTTGTTAAGGGTGGTCTCAAACTTGTGATCCTCGTGTCTCAGCCTCTCAAGCCATTGGGATTATAGGTGTGTGCCACCATACCTGGCATTTTTTTTTTTTTACTTTTATGTATTTATTTTTGCAATGCTGGAATTAAACCCAGGGCCTCACACATGATAGGCACTGTACCACTAAGTGGCTTAGTGGTACAGAAAAGAAGCTTTTTTTTTCAATTCTTTCTTTGGTGGAACTGGGGATTGAGCCCAGGCCTTCGTGTCTGCGAGGCAAGCACTTTGCCACTGAGCTACATCCCAGCCCACGTTTCAATTTTTTGATGTTTGATTGCCGACAACTTTGAGGCCCTGYCACTCCCTCGCCTCTCAGCTCCACATCTGAGCAATCCGATAAAGCCTGGGTGCTTCTTCCTTCGGTGCTTACTAAAAGTGCCAACTTAGTACACCCAAGCCCACTCAAGGGAGCTCTCAACACAGACCCAACCACCAGAGTAACCGAAAGCTATTTTCCCCTGCTCTCTCAAAACATTTCCAGACCAGCTTTGGAGCCCACTCTGCCTTCCCCAAAAGCTTCACTATGTGAACAATCAATATTTCAAATCCTTTTGCTGCCTTTATGTTATTGACAATGATCTTGACAACCAAACACAATTTTGAGAGTGGGGGTATTTTAGTCAGCTTTTGTGTCACTGTGACCAAAATACCTGACAAGAATGACTAGAGGAGTGAAAATTTATTTGGGGCTCATGGTTTCAGACAACTGACTCCATTACTCTGGGTCTGAGGTGAGGCAGCACATCAAGGGGTAAGGGCCCAGCAATGGGGAATATTGCTCAGCTCATGGCAGAGTGAGGCAGATGATAGAGACAGAGAAAGGATGGGGGTGGGGAGGGAAATGGCAAGGGGGTGGTGATGGTGGATCAGGCAAGATGTGCCTGCCTACAGTTACCACCAACTTCATGCAAACTAGGATGTACAATCAAACTTGGATGGACAGAGGAAGTTACAGATCTTGCAAGCCAATCATTTCACATTCTTGAAGTAATGCAGGAGCTCTGGGGAGATACCTCATATACAAACCATAACAGGATGTTTCCATCCTGTTCTTTTGGGGGTAATGATGATATTGTGCTTCAGAAGTGGGAGAAATTACTCTTTATACATTGTTGGGTACAACTGAGTAGAAATTTTTAATTTATATTTGTTCATTGATATATTTATAAAGTCATCATTATTTATGTCAAATTTATACCTTACTGCTTGAAGAGACCATAAATTTGGGATAGTTATTAACATTCAAAGATGGGTAAAGGGACTATGGCAAACATTCTACTGTGCAATGACATTTACCCCACAGCCCTGGGAAAAGCCGACTTTGGACTCTTGTTCAGTTTACTGTTAACAACAGGTGCTTGATTAAGTGACAGGAAAGTAATTTTTCTAGAAACA